ATATTTCAATCTATAATAGTTTGAACCTTCTTTGAATCCATCATAAGTTCTTTTTTGGAAATGATATATTTGAAGAAGTCAACTTGAGTTGTGTAGAATACATACTTTTTCAACTTGGCATAGAATATCACATCTTTAAGTTTTTATAATATATGACAAATATAAACTTTATATTTTTTTGTGTTCTTAGAATAGATTAAAATGTCATCTAAGTAATAGACGATAAAATCATCTAAAAATTCATAAAAAATATCATTCATAAGATGTTGAAAAGTACTTGATGCATTCAAGAGTCCAAAAGGTATGACATTATATACAAAGTGTCTATACCTTATTCAAAATGTAGTCTTCCATTCATCTTTTTTTTTAATGTAGACCAAGTTGTATACTTTTAGTAGATCTATTTTTATATAGATTTTAATTTGATTTAGTTGATCATGAAGTCCATATATCAAGGATAAAGGATACCCTTTCGTGATCGTAATCTTGTTGAATTCTTAATAGTATATGCACATTTGTAGTGATCTATCATTTTTTTTTTTCACAAATAAGATAGGAGCTCTTGTAGGAGATTTTGAATGATATGTGAAATTCTTGATCAAGTTCTTGTTAATATATTTCTTGAATTTAGCCAATTCATTTTGTGATAAACTATAGATTGGACCAAATGATAGTTGACTTCTCTCTTTAAGGTCAACTAAGCAATCATATGGATGATGTTTTGAAATAATATGTATATTTTTCTTCTCAAAAATATCTTGAAAATAATAATATTAACTTAGAATAACACTTTGAGACTTTCTATCATTAAAAATGGATGTAGCATTAAATAACAAAAGATAATCTTTCTTTTGTAGCATGTAAAAAAGCTTTTATACTTATAAATACGGGTTTGGCTATACTAGACTTATGACTTTTCACAATAATGCTTTGAAGAAAGTCAAGTTTATGAGAAATCCAATCTATTAGAGGATTACACTTTTCTAGCCACAATAAATTTAAAATGACCTAGTTAGAAGAAAAACTAATTATATTAAAAATTATGCAACTGTTATGACTATTTATTGCTACATCTATAGGAAATATTTCATGAGTAATATCTCTAGAAGATAACAAACAACCATCTATGATTTCTATATGTACGGATTTAGTTTTTTGTACTAACAGTATTCTATGGCTTTTAACAAATTCTTCATTTAAGAAACAAGCTAGGGCTTCTAAATCTATTAAGGTATAGGCTTTGTGATTATTAGGTCTTAAATGCACATCTACTGTAAAACAAGGAGAAGATTCTGAGGAGAAGATAGGACCTTCATTTATACAAGATTTTAGCTACATGATATTGTATTAGAATTATTTATAGTATATAAAAATTAACTAAAATATATAATATCTTTATAAGTATTGATGTACATTAAAGTAGTTAGTAGATTAATTTAAAGATAATTGATGTAAAAAAAAATATTTTGAAGTTTACATATATTAATTATAATATTTAAATTATATAGAATTTAGATATTTAGTATAAAATTTAAGGAGAATATTGGAACTCAAAGATAAAGATTCAAACCTCTAAGAAACTTATTTGGATACATGAAAATAAGGTATGGATGGATAAAGGCAAAAGATAAAGATCTTCATTTCTATTGGACGAAGGCCATTCCTAATAGATATTTAGCAGGTTGTTTGTATCCATAATAAGGATTTTAGCATCTTTAGAAAGATTATTTGAGAATAATAAAAAAAAATATAAGGTTTAAGATTTGAGTTACAATTTGTATACAAATTTTAAAGGATTTGGAATTATGATGATGAAGTTATAGCCATTTGAAATTAAGTCTTTTTAAGACATATTGTTGCTATTTTGAAGGTACAAAGAATTTTATAATAGATTTTGGAGATCAAAAGATGCAACTGTAAGATTGATTTCATGATCTACATCTTTTGTAAAAGAATTTTTCATTTGAAGTTTGTATGAGGGAGTTATAGAGCATTGAAGAGAGTATATGTAATTCAAAGGCAGTAAGTGAGTTGTTTTATTGATAGTAATGATTGGAGCCATATTTTGAGTTTTTAAATAAATTTTTGGCTTAAAATTTCTAAAAATATGTGTTATTAGATTAAAAAGCTACATATCAAAATTTTATGGTATTTGAGCACTTAGTTTGTAAGATATAAAGAAAATTGCACATAGGTGTATATAAAAAAGGGTTTGAAGATACTGTTAGGATTTTGGCAATATCTCAAGATCCATAATAAATTTACAATTGAAATTTGTTATGGTAGTTATTAAAAGTACATCTCTACTTCATGTAAAATTTTAGTTTGTTTGGATAGTCCAATCATGAAATATGAATTGTTGAAGTTAAGAAAAAACTCACTTTAAAAATATAGAAGGTTTTATAATATTTTTATCATATTTTTAGTGATCTTTGATATTTAGGCCTTATGTATTCATGTAATTGTCCTTATAGGGATAATTTTATATAAAATTGGAATTTTTTTATCTTGAGACTTGATTGAGCAATTAGTGATAGCCAAAAGCCTAGCACTTTTTTAAGGCAAATTCTCTCTATCCCAACAATAGTCCTTATTGTAGCTGCACAAATTCATTTTTTGACATTTTATCATCTTTGACAATTGTACTTCTCATTTTTTAATTGCATCATTTTTTTGAATAATGTTGAGCACTGTGCTTGACTTCTCTCTAATATAAATACAATACTTTTTCATGATGGTGAGTCTTTTCTTGTTCAATAATAGGTTTAAAATATACTACATCAATTTACATGTCTTCTACTTCCAAATATTTAGATTGAGAGGTCATTGATGTTGTCATTGAATTGTAATAACATGGAGGTTTTTTTGTATGATTTTTAAATTGAAACTCAAAAAGTCAATTTTCACACTTCATAGCAAAGCCAATTACTTGAGTCAATGTCTATAGATCAAGTAAGTTGAGCATTAATTTTTTTATTTCATAATGCAATTTGTAGAGGTATTGGCTGATAAAGGCAATATCATCCTACTTGACATAAATTCTTAGTTACCAAAATTGTAAAGCATATGATTTCATTGATTGTTTATCTTGTAAAGTGTATGATGCAATTTATTGGTTGCAACACAAATTGCATCATGTTCTCCATACATAGGTCAAAATTCCATAAAAAAGTCTTCAAAATATTAAATATTAGATCTTATCGTTTAAATAAAGATGAAAACTATAATAATGCCAAATTTAAAAGAAGTATACTAATAAATTTAACTTGTGATCCTAGCATTAGATAGTTTTGAGATTGAAGTTCAATCACAAGTTGTGCTCGATTGATAAATCCTTAAAACTTGGATCTTGTGCCATCAAACTTCTCGAATAAGACAACTATGAGTTCTCTAATATTAGAAGGATGTTTTACTATAGAAGAAGGAATGTGATTTGGTGCACATATTGAAGCGGCTCCAATCATGTCATTATCTTCACTTTTTGTGATTTTTTTGTCCTTGGTGGCGATAAACTGAGTTGATGCATCACAAGCATTAACTCCTTCAATTGCTCTTATATTTGTACCATTGTACTTTTTATTTCAAGAAGCTCTGCCATGAAACACTTAAAAAAAAAATGTCTAATATCACTCAAGATAAGCAAAAGAGAGGACTTGAGAACAAAGAAAATATTAAGAACAATATCAATTTAGAAGAAGGTAATCTATAACTTCTAACATACTTATATCTTATTAAGAGAAAAGGATAATCTACTCTTAATGAAGAAAAGACAAAGCTTTAATATTATAAGTATATTCTTGTGAATATATCAAGAACAAGAACTCAATAAAAGTAAATAATCAAATGAAGCTTTCTCAAGGAAATATGATGAAATAAAAATAAAAAAGTATGTATATTAAAAAAAAAAAAAAAAAAAAAAAAAAAAAAAAAAAACTAAAATGGCTATTGTCAAAAGACAAGAAAACTAAAGACTCTTGAAATTAAACTAGAAACAAAAAAAAATTGACAAGAAAGAAGAAGACTTCACTCTTGCCTCTATATATATATATATATATATATATATATATATATAATCTACCTAAGATGTTTCAAGTGACGTTCTATAGGACCTCCTAAAACGTGTTGACTTTATATGATATGTATCTTGACTTACAAGACAAGTTTTCTATATAGGTGCCATATAGTTAGCTTGTTCAACAAGCTACTAATACATGTGACACATGGTTAGCTTATTGACCAAGTTTCTAACCTATCAATCAACTACAAATACATGTAAAGTCAAAACATCATCTAGGAAGCTTTTAGGAAGTTTTTTTAGAAGATATTATGAAATTAATCTATTTTTATATATTTCTACCTACTCTTATTATCTAAATAACAAACATAGTAGATATATATCCATGATACTTATTCCCTACGGAATACATTATATCTACATTTAATAAATTTGTATCATTGAAAGACTCAAATACTAAAGCAATTGCAACTTATATGAAAGATTTCAAAAGAATTGGAGAATTTTGCGATTAAGCCATGTCCAATATTAAGCATAGTTGTGAGTTACAAAATTGACTCACTAATGTGTTTTAGTACAAAAATGCACTTATGGTACTTTAAATTATTAATTTAGGAAGTTAATGTAGGAATTTAGAAATAAAAAGTAACTAATAAAATGTTAGTGGCCATAATGGGTCTATTGCAAAATTTTCTAGTAAAGAATTCCATAAATTGATAGTCTCTCTTCGATTTAGCTAATATAAATCTTTAATTTGATAGTAGTAGTTTTTATTGTCATTAAAATATTTAAATTAAGTTAGGTGTGGAGGTAGAATCCTTGATTCAAAATACCCAACAAGGAAAAAGGAATAAAGGAAAAAAGAGTAAAGAAAAAGAGATAAGAGGCAAAAAAGAAAAAAAGAAAAAGCAAGAAAAAGCAGGAAGGAAAGGAGCTAGTCCCAAAGTCGGAGGAGGGCTCCTTGTCTACAGGGGTCTGGGTTGCCCCGGATTCCCTCCTTCTTTCTATTATTTGTATACTGAAGGTGGAGCTCCGAGGATTGTGGAGCAACTCACTTGATTGCTAAGTGTGTTGCGACTGTGTTGCGTCTGTTAATTGCCGACTTTCCAACGGCGTTGCAGGGGCTTTGGCTTCTTTTTGTTTAGTTCCTTCTTGTTTCTGATTTTTTTCATGAGCGTTCTGGGAGCTCCGATTGTTAGAGGGATCTTCTGATGTGTGTGTGTGTTCTTTTCTTTTCTTTTCTTTTCTGGTGTGTGCGTTCTGTTCTGGGTCTCTAAAGTTCAAGGTGGTTGCGGAAGGTCTTCCCCTTCCTTTGTGTGGTTCACGACGGTTGAGCGAGTTGGAACAAGATTGCGTTGCTCTTCCTTCCCTCTGTTTTTGGCTCTGATCTTCACTTGGTTCTATGGCGGTGGAGAGAGCACCTCAAGTGGTGTTGATGGCGGTGTTGCCTTCCTCAAAGATCTAAGTTCAACGGTGTGCGGCTATTGTCCACACTAATTGTGTTCTTCGTCGAGTAGCAAGTGTGCGGTTCCTTGTTGTCTAAGATCTTGTTGTTTTTGTGGTGTGGCGACGGTGTCATCTACAACGAAGTGGGCTCGCGGCATGATGGAGTATTCGAGCGGGTCAACCTTCACCAGCGTGAATTCATATGTGGTTGTTGTTGTGGCTTGGTTGCGATTCCTAGGTGCTGCGGCTGAAGTCGCTCGGTGGAGCTCGTCGGTGTAGTGCGGCAGTCGACCTGGTCTGTTGCTAATTGCCTTACAGCTCAAGTGCTTGATCAATGAGGCTATGGAGCGATTATGACAACGCTTAGTTATTGTTGATTTTTTTTTGTGCCAATCGGGTCAAGTTCGCGCCGTGGTTGCTTCCTTACTCCATAAAGGAGCTTGATTTTGATTTTAATTCTTTTTTATTGTTATTAATTAGTGGCTGGATGCATTGCTTGTTATTAGTTCATTGTTTTATTTCCGAGCAGATTTCCTTCGGGTGGATGTGGTGCACTAGCCATGTTGGCAGCAATCAATTGAGCGAGTGACTTGCCACTTTGAATCTCTCAGACCATAGGATGGGATGACATTGCTCAAAAGTGGATGCTGAGAAGGATTTCAACAGAACTGCCAATGTGTTGGAGTGCATGAGCTAACTTGGTCGCTTAAAAAGAAAGAAACTCCAGAATGGTGGCATATTGTAGGTAGCACAACATCCTCGTGAGATACTTAGCAAAGGCTAGTATAGTGAAAAATTACTTAAGCAGCTCGGTGATCAATGAGACCGTCAGCCATGCTTCTCGAACAATGTAATACGAGTCTCATTCAAGTACCCAACAATCAGAACATTGGGTAGCGTTTTTGTGATCCTCTTGCTAGGTCTCCTCTGTAGTTTCTCAAATTTTTGTCACAAGCCATCTGGGAGGTACCATTGCCCAACTTAGTTCTGCAGAGGTTTTGAGAAGGAACGACAATGAGCAATCAGTGTCAACATCAAGTTTGAGTCCATCAAGTATTTCAGCAACACTGCCGTAGCTGCTCCACTAGTCGCTGACATATCTTGATACAAATATCTTGAAACCATGATACACTATAGATACACTATACATGAGACTATAAACAAGAACTTGATTAAATTAGATGAGTACAAGATTAATGCCAAAAATGTGAGCTAGAACTCCAAGAAATATGTTGTTGGGACTAAGGATCTCCTCAACATTGACTTTTATATATATTAGGTATTAAAAAGCTTTTCAAGAAATTTCTATGTTGCTTGAAGATAAAGCAACTTTAGAAAGCTTCTTAGACACCTTCTTTAATTCTCTTAGAACTTTTTAGAATTTATTAAAATATTCTAAAAACTTATTAAAACCTTCTAAGAATGTTTTAAGAATCTTTTAAATTCTTTTTATATCTTATAGAACTTAATAGAATATTCTTAATATATTCTTAGAATCTTCTTATTGGATGTTTATAACAGACCTACTTGTACGAATGGTAGTTGAATAAACATGATAGGATGAAATTAGGTTATCTTTCACATAGTAAGGATTTAAATAATTTAGAATTCAAATAAGTTAATTTGAATGAAGCTTTAATGAAGGATGAATTTTTAAATATGGATGAAGTATGTAAAAGAAATATTATTCAAGGATAAAATTTAATTAAATAAAATTTTAAACAAGATAAAAATAAATAATTAATTAATTAATTAAAATATAATATAATATAATTTATATTAATAATAATTTTTTATTCCATAGAATTTTTGTGGTTTATTATTATGAATAAAAGTTGATAAAAGAGATTTTTTATTTAATTATTTGGTGAATTGAGGAATTTTAAGAGTGAATTAAATTGAATTAATTAAGGGCTAAAATTGACTAAAATTGCATAATAATTTACTTATTATAAGATAGGATTAATTTTAATTAGTAGAGGTTTACTTTGCTTCACATATGGATAATTTAGAAAGATTAAAAGTAATTTAATTAAAGATTAAATAAGAGTCATAATTTATAGAATTTACATAATTAACTCACTTATTGTGAAATAGAATAAACTTCTAAATATTAGAGGTTTATTTTAACTTACAATAATCAAGAAAAAATATTAGCCATATATCAAAAGAAGTAGAAACTTTACAAATGCAATAGGGACAATGTAGTAATCTAGTATTTTGAAGATTCAAAAAAATTTAGTACCAAATTTGATGCACTTTGGCATGGATCATATAAAATACAACTTGAACTAATTAATAATATTATTCTATTGATCAATCATGACAACTACAATCTATATGCCAATATTATAAACACAAATAAGCTTTACTCATATATACTAATAAAAACATATTTTTAAATAGATAATTTTATTATCTTTTTAATGATATAAGAAACATGTAAATCCGAATTACTATGAGTAAGTTATGAAAGTTTAAAGATAGGAAGTGAATAATTGAAAAGTTAAATGAAAATATTTTACCTCAAGGATAACTTGCTTATAGATCAAGGATTTGAGTCTCACCAAGGCTCATATGTAGTATATATGGATTATTAAGAGAGATCACAAGGCTTTAGTCTTATCCTCCTAACTCTATTCAAGGCGCTACAACCTATATGGGACTCGTACACCTCCTTTTTAACAAGGACTAGACTAGTTGCTAGTCATTCTATTTTCTATTAGTAAAATTTCTATTTTTATATTTTTGACTTCACAACAATATTTTAAAATATTGGAATCGCCTAAGAATTTTGTATGGCCTTCAAATCTTATTCCATTTTTTCACAATGGCTCTCAACAGAGGTAAAATTCAATTTTATCAAAGTCTTTAAATCTTCTCTATAAATTCCTAAATCATTCTAAATAAATTATAAATAAATCTTTAAAAATTCTATAATATTTTTATAATTCTTTTATCCATTTAAGACTATATTTTTCTACCTTTATGATTTTTTATAGTAAAAAAATTAATTTAAATCCACTAAATATTCTATTTTTTATATAATTAGCTAAAAAGATATGAAGTTCTTTTATGCTTCTTTTAACTACTAATTAATCACTAATAGGATATTTATAAGTAATACATATAGATAGGAAGCCAATAAAGTCATTGGTCTCAATAACTAATCTTTCATATTTAACAATAAATAAAAATATTAAATCAATTAAGTTAATTGCCTCAAAGACTTACTTTGACTTTATTTTTATAACTTTTCTTCTAACAAGACTTTTGTAACTTATAAATAATTCTAAATTCTAATAAATACTTTAATAATCAAAAAGACTTTCTAATCTTAATATTTGTATAATGAAATGACTTAAAACTATATTTTTAATTAATTCATCAATTAAGATGTATTGGCAAAATTCATACTTCACATGTCTACATACTATTTACCTCAAAGATGTCAATTTGATCCTCAAGAACAATAAAAAGTCAAAATCATCATACAATCACAATCCCAAATTGAATCCATCACATTTCCTTGAAATTGTGCTTGTCTACATCATCATCTTATTATTTAAGCACAATATAATTATTAAACAATCTACTTTGTTGACAATAAAAATGGAAACCAACATGATGGTGTTCAAAAGCCTTCACATCAATGAGGTTTTTTATACAAATATTCTACAAAAATAATTTATTATCTCAGAATTTGTTCATTTTGCTATCTTAGAATCTACTCATTTTGCCATTCTATATTCATGCCTTCTTGCATCTTTGTCTTTTTGGTTTTTTTTATTATTTCATGAATTATCATCTCACTTAGAAATAGCATCTTGGCTTTATACATTCTATATATAATTCTTTATTGCATCAAAGATACAAGCGTAGATCAATATAAAGGACAAAGAATTAATTAATAGTGTAGGATTAAGGAGTTACTATTGCCAACTATCACCTATTGTAAATAAGAAGTAGTGTTAGGAGTTTATATAGAATATGGCTTGGTAGAACTCAAGTAAAGACTAATATATAGATATGGTAGAAGATAAGGATATTTTGTGAAAAATCAATTATTTCTAGATTATATTTGGATTTACCTTCTCAAAGTTCAACGACTATAGATATAAGTGTGAACAATCATATTTCAACTACAAGGACCTTGTTAATAGCAAGAATTATGTAATTAATGGATACGATATAAATATTTTCAAGATCAAATATAATATTAAAAAATATACATGCATTTGTAGCATAATTGCCTTTGTATTCTTTTACAAGTAAGTCAATAATATTTTAGATGCCACAATGGGCATATATCTTTTGGCAAAAAATAGAGAACCAATTAATTGAAGCAAGATTGTACACAATGCTTCTACATGAGAATGAAGGTACTATTAATAAGACCAATATTCTTGTAGTATCATCGATCCTTTTTCTTTAGTGTATATAAGGAAGTATAAGCATTATATTACAAAGTTTGGATGTATACCACCTCAAAGATTGATGAAGAAAAATTAAAAAAAGATTAAAAAAGATGCTCAAGATAAAGAATAATATAAGCTACACAACAAAGAATCTGACAAAAAAAAATCTCGTGTTGACATTGATGTCTATACCATCTTAATTGACTCACAATACCATAGTCTTTGGAAAAAAACCTAAAAAGTGACAATTTATGAAACTTGATTGCAATACAAAGCTCTAAAACAAATAATTCACAAATTAGTAACTTTAGCCAATAAAGAAAATAAGAGGTCGCAACATTACAAAGACTATTTTTAAAATATAAAATAAGAATATTATAAGATCAATATGGCATTACAATTATAAATCAAACAATTAAATCAAGAAGTAGTCTAATTGTTGTGAGCTAAAAAAAACCTCTATTAATTGGAAGTTTATTCTAATTCATAATGAATAAATTAATTATAAAAATCTTTATAAAATTAATTTTTATTTAAATTTTAACTAATTCATTCTTAATTTCTATCAAAGACATGAATCTTGAAGAAAGAAATCTTTAATATATTCATATATCATTCAAAAGAATTTAAAAAATCACTCAAAGATGATATAATATTAAACTAGAATGATTATTACTAAAGTCAAAAAGACTTGAAAGACTTGAAATAAGACTGAGATTTAGAAAGGTGTTAATAAGAGTGAAGAAGGCTTCACTCTTGCTTCTATATATACTATCTAACTAAGAACTATATGCCAATATTTTATAGGGCTTTCAAATAAGTTGACTTTGTAAAATACATATCTTAACTTGCAAAGTAATTTTTTTATATATGCACCATATAATTAGCTTATTCCACAAGCTATCAACATGTGTGGTATGTGGTTAATTTATTGATTAAGATTTTAACCTATCAATCAATTATAAATACATATAAAGTCAAAACAACATCTGTGAAGCTTCTAAGAAGCTATTTTAAAAGATATTATGAAATAAATCTACTTTTATTTACTTCTATTTCTCATAATTAATTATTAGAATAAATATATATATTTATGATATTACACCCCTTTTTAATAAGAAATTCCACAAGAAGCAATCATTATCTTTCATGGATCTTGTAATTCTTTATCTTAGTTTTGATGGATGTTGTTAATGAAAAGCCTCAATTTCTTTTGTTTCATTTGTAAGATTCTTTATTAGATCCTATGTACATTTACAAATATCATATCCAGGCTAATGAATAAGTTATTTTAACATATTTTTGAGCTGCCTTGAATCTAAGACTTCTTTTACTTCAAACTCTTGATTATTATCTATTTCTATAAAAAAAAGTGGTACTTGTCTTCTTTTCAAGATATTCATTGTTTTATATAGATTAAAAAGAGACAGATAGAATATAAGATGGAACTTAATAAAATTCTATAGATGTAATTAATAAGCAAAAAGATTAACTTATTCACAAATAGAAAAAGGTCCAAGCCTATAATAATCCAACTTATCACAAAGACAAGTAGTCTTGAAATTATAACAAAGTAGCTATATTTTGTTATTTATAATAAATTATAGTTATTTGTTGCAATAAGCATCTGCATTGCTCTTTTGATGTTCTTGAACTTTCTTTAATTGTGCCTTGATTGTTGTATATAACTATGACAAATAATTCACCAAATCTTTTGCTATAAGATTATCAACTTTTAAAAAGTCCAAAGTATCAAATTATGAATAATAACCATAATTAGTAAAAAAAGATATTTATTAAAGAATGTACCAAATTATTGTATACAAACTCTGTCAATGTTAAAAGATTGGTTCAATAATTTTAATGATAGTTGATGGTACACCTCAAATATTACTCCAAAATTTAATTCACTCATTTTGTTTGTCCACCAATTTAAAGATGAAA